CTTGTAATCGGTTCCCCCTTTCCCTCCCTCCACCCTCCCAGTATCGCCACTCTCACCACTGATCCTGAGGGGTTCATCTGTTCTGGTTTCCCTGTGTTTCCAGTTTCTATCTGTACCAGTGTACATCCTCTGGTCTAGCCAGATTTGTAAGGTAGGATTGTAAAAATATTTTTTAAGAACCATTTTGTCTAAATAGATAAAGAGATCATTTAGTCTAAGTTAAGTAAGAGATCAGCCATTTGCTTAGACATATTTTTTTTTCTATCAAACAAGTTCATCATCATTAAAGCTTACCTAAGACAAGTATCAAATCCTATTATATTTCCATGGCTCGTGCAGATGACCAAGTACTCGGTTGGTAACCCACCCGAAGTGCCTTAGAAGAAAGGCCTGACAACGTGCTGCTGAAAGGTCACAGCCAGGAAATCCACCTGGACAGTCCTCCTCTGCAGTACCTAGGGTCATCAGGAGTCAGAATCAACTCTGTCCTAACTGGTTTGGTTTGTTAGTCTTTCTATTGTGCTGGAACAGTAAGTTCAAGACCTCCGTGAGACAGATGACTGCAATATAACAAGAATGACTTTCTCACTATTATCTTTAATTAAAAATTTTAATTTATGTTTTTCTAAATTATTCTATTTATTTCCTTACTTTATTGGTATTTGTGAACCTCAAATCAACTCTAAATTAATAGTAATGAATATTTGCCAACAGATAAATCCAGAAACTACAAAACAAAACATTTTAAAACACCAGCTATGTAAACCTTCAATATTATACAATGATTATTTGGGCTAATTGCATGCTAGCCAAACTTTCATCAATCATTATAATAAATCATTATAATAATGCCAAGACCCATGCTATCCATTGATTGAGTGTGTCTTGGAAAAATCCAATTCTTAAAATCACTTTGTAATACGTTTCATTTATTATTCCATGAATATTACTTACATGATAAGAGAAAAGGTCTTAATTTACATTTTAATAAATATGAGTATTCTTCTCTGTACTCTTCTTTATGAGATGGTTACCCTTTCACTGGCCACAACAGTGATTCATATACTATAATAACTGTATTTTTATATGTTGATTCAAATGTTGATTCTATGAGATGTGGTAAATGACCATTTTATAAAGCAGTATTTAAGACATGTACTGTGTTTGTGTGTAAATAAAAGCCCTGGTGGTTCAATGGCTAAGTGTGCAGCTGTATGTCAAAAGTTAGGTGGTTCGAATAGTCAAACCTACCAGTAGCTCTACAAGAGAAAAGACCCAAAGATCTACTCAGATAAAGTCTAGGAAACCCTAGGGGGCAGTTCAACTCTGTCCTGTGACGTCATTCTGCATCAGAATCAATCTGTGTAGCTCACAACCACATGTGTAAATAAGTGTATGTGTAAATATACATTACATACTGGCAATGTGCATATTTGATTATTTATATCCTTAGAGCCTTACCAAACATTCATTATTGAGTTACTAATTTGATAGATAAAAGTAAAACCATGTTATCGTTTATATTAAATTTCTTTGACTTCCAACAAAGTTAGTTTTTTTCATGAATCTCTGTATGATAGCTGTTGCTCTGTAAATTGCTCTTATCCTCATCCCAGCTTCCTACCAGGGTTGTTTTCTTTTTTCTTTTTTTAAACATTTTATTAGGGGCTCATACAACTGTTAT